ATGAAGGCAATGAATGTACAAATGTGCTTTACACAATTGATGTAGGTATGGATTGTGATAAGAGTTGTAGGAGCCCCCTAATAAAATGATTTTTTTTTAAAAGAATCTATTCAACACTAGTGTTCAAAGAATATGCTTTGTTTCTATTCCGATGCTAACAATATTCACTACAGTAAGATATTTTAAGTCCACTGATGGGTGTTCCTGGGATCATCAGGCAATATAGCAGGAGGTTGAGGAACCAGATCCAGGATCCATATCAAGTAAAAGTAAATCTTTCCCATGGAGTTTGCTTATAAAGCAGCAGACCAGACCCCAGAAGTCTTCCTTCAAATTGTACCAAAGCTGTGGCCTAATTAAGGGGGCAGCAGACTACCACAGCTGCTGGCTGCTCACAGAGTTCATGATGTTAGATCCCATCACGGAGTTGATTACATTGTGTTAGGTCATATCATGCGGGATTACTGCCAAACTAAGAACCCTAGCCCAGCCAAGCTGACACAAACCGTATCACAATGACCTTTTGCTTTCTCCATGTCTGCCTTTCATGCCATCCCACTATTTGTCTGATCTTTGGTCATCAGTGTCCTATGAGTTGAGTGTCCATATTCAGGTGAGATATTTTCAGAAGCTGTACTTCAGCTCGTGAGCCTTGTTTTAATTTTCTTCAGCTTCAACTTGAACTTACATATCAGCAATTGATGATCTATCTTGGAGCTGGGCTCTAGTCTTGTTCTGGCTGATGATTTTGAGTTCCACAGATAGAGTCAATTTGATTCTTGTGTACTGCATCTGGTGAAGTCCACATGTATAGCCACCACTTGTATTGTTGCAAAATGATGTTTCCAATGAATATACATACAAGGGGGCTTCAAAATTTATGGGCATTTTCCATTACTTTTTAGTCTCCCTTTTCAACAAACTTTTTGAAATCCCCTCATATACAATGGCATACACATCTTTTGTTAAGCCATTTTCCATGTTCTAACGCACCAATCTGGTTGACTATCTAAAACTCAATTAGCAGATAAACATTTCAAAATAAGATGTTTCTCTAGGTAAACAATCCTAATTCAGGTTAAAATTTAAAAAAACAAGAGAAAGAATAAAAGGTTCACAAAGAACTACTTCACTAAGCTCTTATGATGTTCAAAGTGTTTTAAGACCTATGTGAAGTATAAAGTTTACAATATTTAAATGATTTTCTGATATTTGCTAATAAAATAATGCATAGATCAATCTAAATATAAAAACAACCAAGATAAAACTGAAAAAGAAAATGAAATAAATCTTTCTCTCAAGTTGAAGGAATATCTTGAATAAAGAACATAGACCACAAATTAACAATAGGATAAACATATTTTGATTCAAACATACATGTGTGGCAAATGACACTAAGGATAAAGGTTAAAGAAATTAATCTGAGAATGCATAGAAAAAGTATGCATGTATTTTGATTTCATTTACTTTAAAATGCTAAGATAAGTCAAAAAAACCCTGGTAGTACTGTCAGGTAAGCACCAGATTGCTAAACACAAAGTCAGTGGTTCAAACTCACAAGCTGCTGGTGGGAAAAATTAGGCTGTTTGCTTCTGTATGATTTACAAAGCCTTGGAAACCCTATAAATTAGAGTAACAATGAGGTCAGTAAGGAAAACACATATGATGTGATCCTACAAATCTGTAGGATAACAAAATTAGCTCTCCCTGTTCTAGCTATCAATAAAGATAGGGCAATAAGATCTTTATATCAGCGGTTCTCAACCTGTAGGTCGTGACCCTTTTGGGGGCCAAACGACCCTTTCACAGGGGCCGCACAATTCATAACAGTAGCAAAATTAGTTATGAAGTAGCAACAAAAATAATTTTCTGGTTGGGGGGGTCACCACAACATGAGGAACTATGAAAGGGCCACGGCATTGGGAAGGGTGAGAACCACTGCCTTATATGAATCAGTCAGCTGCTCACGAAAAACACTATTCCTGATACAGACAGAAGGGAGCAAATTCTCCCTCAGGTGCTCCCAAACATGGCTCACACTGAACAAACATTCTTAAGGAACTAGAACATGTGACATAGTACATACCTTCTACACTCCTTAAGTCTGAACCAATGGCATAACATCTAACTGCAATTTAGTAAAAGAAATGCAACAGGGGAAGAAAACAAATGTTCCCCTCTGTACATGTTCGCTGCAAGTGGGCTGCCTCTGTTGAGGACGTTTATACTTTTCCAGTGTTGCCAAGACTGGGTGTGCATAAATGCAGGGGCAGATCCATTTGGCTCCGGAACTACACTCTGTTCTGCAATCTGCTTTATCAGTATAAAACTGACAGTTGCTGTATCCCCTCTCTCATTTGGTTTGAAATTCAAGGTATGAAGAAGATCATCAAAACAGGGTTGCATGTTTATTTCCAAAGAGTTTTAAATCAAAGATTATCAGTCATTAACAGAGAGAGGAACACTAATCATGGTACCTGTAAGCATTTAATTTTAAGTAATATAATTTCCTGAACTCTCCTGAAGAATGGCGTGTACAAGCTACATAGCTGAGTAACTGGAGTGTCTGCTCTGAAACCAGCTGAAGCAAGAAACCCAAACCAACTTCCATAAAAACTTCTACATTGTCATAATGAATGATAAATCCTTGAAACATCGTACAACATAGATGAGTCTAGCAGACTCGTCCGTATTTTAAGACTATGCTAAGTGAAGTAAGTCAACACAAATGAACAGATAGTGTTATTTTCTTACTTTTATAAATAGACATGATATATACAGAGTCCAACATTAGCTGGTGATTAGCATGGATGGGGTGAAGGTGAATCACTCTATCACTCACTGCCATCGAGTCGATGACAACTCATGATGACCCTACAGGGCAGGGCAGAACGACCCTGTGAATTTCAGAGACTGTTTACAGGAGAGTAAAAAGCCTCATCTTTCTCCCTTAGAGCGACTGGTGGCTTTGAACTACTGTTATCAAACACAATGTTAAGAACTTTTCTAAACACATCTCAAAACCCATTTAATTCTCAAAATAACCTTAAGACAGTATTTTTAATAAGCCCAATTCAGATATGCAATCACTGCGAGAGATGGAGATGGCTGAATATTCCACATCAAACAAGTGACAAAGCAAAGCAAACCTTGGTTGTCTGGCTCCCAAGCCTTGCTCTTAACTTCAGCGATACACTTCCTTAACCATCTTACAACAAAGGAGCTAAAAGAAACAGCAAGCAACCATCTTTTTGTATGCTCTTCATCCATCATGCTTCCATTAGCTATGTTTTCATTCTCCTTCAAATGTTTTCTAATTCTTTTCAACTTTTTGCTTCATTAGATCTAGAAATGGAAAACCTTTCTTCTCTATCTCTCTCTCTCTCTCTCTCTCTCAGAAAGTTTTGCCCTCTGATTTTTAATTCTAATCAATCAACTCTGCTACTTCTAAAAAGAAAAACTTTCAGGGGAGCAAAACATGAAATACACTCACTCTTCACTTATTAACATGGTAAGCTTCCAATGACCAGATTTTTGTGCAAAAATGGCATTGTACAGAAATGGAGGATGACCATATATCAAAATGGGGATGATTGCATCGTTACTTAACTGCCAAATTACATTGTTATCTACCAAATCACTGGAAAAATAGGCAAGTTGATGACATCACCGTATCACAACCAGTATGACCCTTGCCTCACATCTTAGTGTTCGTCACATATCATTTAAACAAAAATGATTGGATGGGTTCTTTTACTATTGTTGTGAAGAAAAAAAGCATAGCCATTAAGTGAAAAGCAGGTATAAGTTAATCAAGTTATACGGTTAAAAAAGAAAAGCAAACAATCCTGTTTCCACCGTGTGGATGATGATTCTTTAGGACAGAGCAGAACTATGTTCTACACATTATAATCTTTACTGTAGCAGACAGCTTCATCTTCTCCCACTAACTTTGCTGCTAATAGCCCAGCACTCAACCCATTACACCAACAGGGTTTTCTTCCTGTGGGCAATAGGCAATAAAAACTACATTTGACCTTGGTTAATGATATTCAAAAGTATAATCAACTATCCATGTGACCACAAATCAGAGAATACATTATAGATATGTTCTGAATCTTGAAAAATTTACTTTGTCTGGATTTCCATACTCAAGAAAATTTTCAGAAGCAAAATCTACACAACCCTTAGGAGATAAAATATTATAATTTTTACACAGCAGATTCACTTGAATGCTTTAATTTTATCCAAGCTTAACACTGCAGAACTCATACATAGTCAAATTTATGAGTATTCATTAAAAACTAAAGCTTGCATATTTACTGACAAAGGACACATAAAAGTCCAGTGAAGTGTCAGTTAACTACAGTTCAATTACACCCTTAAAATTAACAACAGTATTTTCTTTTCCACCTTCCTATTAAGCACATGCATGCACCCCCACACATAGGGGAAAAAACAAGCAATGCAAAAGCATACAACTATTTTGGAAGAGATGCTAAAGATCAGAATATAAACAAACACCTATTACTATAATTAAATTTAATGACATCAGAATATACACTGTCTAGTCTGTCACACTGCCCCATGGACAGAATATTCGGTCCCTAAAATACTGCAAAATACCCAATGAAATTCTCAGTCAACAAAATTACATTAACAGTTCCAATAACTTCCAAAAAGTTGTTGGATTCTAATAAAAAGTCTAACTTCAAACAGCCAGACTAGTCAACAGCCAAAGAATTCTCTTCAAATTAGTCTTTGGACAATCAAATTAATCAGGGTGCCTTCATGCTTTCAATACCCTAATTTTAGATGATGAAGGAGTCATGAGCTAAGAGTCCTGTGTTTGCTTAAATATATTCTCAAATATACTTGCTACTAAAAATAAGCAGTCTGAAAAATAACACACTATAAATAACAGGCTTATAAGGAGAGAGAGTTGAGGAAAAACATTTTAAAACTATACAACTTCATCACCAAAGCACTGACAAAAACATCAATTGATACCTGACAGGGTAACATAGAATGTACTGCAGGTAGAGTTTAATTTGGCCAGAGCCTGCCACAAGCATATACAGTATCAGCACATAAACACAGTTCTGGGAGGTACTCAAGTCACTGACAATGGAGGCTATTACTAGGGTCTTACAGAGAGCTGCACAAAACTAAGAGGTAGATCTCTCTAGAACAGAAAACCTCAGGTGGTGGTGTTGTTAGGTGCCATCAATTCAGTTCTGACCCATAGTGGCCTTCAGCACAACAAAACAAAACAAACTCTACTTGGTCCTGTGCCATCCTAAACATTTGTTCCTATGACAGGACCCATAGTTGCAGCATTGGTGTCAATCCATCTCCTTAGGACCTTCCTCTTTTTTGCTGCCCCTCTATGTTACCAAACATGATGTCCTTCTCCAGGGACTGGTCTTTCCTGATATGTCCAAATTATGTAAAACGAAGTTTTGCCATGCTTTCCTGTAAGTCACACTCTGGTCATACTTCTTCCAAGACAGATCAATTTGTCCTTTTGGCAGTCCACCATCATACCGTCAATATTCTTCCCCCACACCACAATTCAAATGCATCAATGCTTCTGCAGTCTTCCTTGTTCAATGTCCAACTCTGACATGCAGATGAGGCCATTGAAAATACCTTGGCTTGGGTCAGGCATACCTTAATCCTCAAAGTAATAGCCTTGCTTTTCAACACTCTAAGGTTTTATACAGCAGATTCACCTAATGCAACTTATCTTTTCATCTCCTGAGTGCTGCTTCCATTACCACTGATTGTGGAACCAAGCAAGACAAAACGTTTAACAACCTCTCTCAGGTATGCAAACCTATATTCAACGCCTTCAAACAAAGCTGGAAAATGTTCACAATGGCAATGCAATGGCCAAACTTACGGCTGTTCCCATTAGCCTGACAATGATCCACTACCCCATTATTCTTATCCAAAATTTGAAAAAGATTACCCATAAAGCAATATAATTTGTATTTAATGACTATAATTCTCTAATTTCTAACATGCATGAGCCAATACATATTATAAAATTCAAAGATCGTCCCTTAAATGATGAGAGTGCCAAACAAGGCTGGTTTCTTTTTATGCCTCCTCTTCTGAGCATGCTGCCCGCTTTTCTTTCAGAATGATTGCCTTTCAGAGTTATATGACTTTTGTGAATTGCAAAAACTAGTCACTTGTCAAATTTGTTCCAAATATTTTTTCTAGTTTATCACTGGACTTTATCATAGGGTTCATGAGCTTCATACTTTAATGGATTAAATGTAATGATTAAATGTATTACCCTTTCTTTTGCAGCTCTGAGATTTAGGCCTAACATAAATTCTCTCCATTCCAGTCCTAGAAATAAACTCACACTATTTTTTCCAATTCCTTGATTCTTTCATTTTTCACGTTTAAATCTTTGATCGTACTGGAATATTAGCATCACTAATGAAGCAGGGAGTTGTTACAGTTTGTACCTACGTGGCTAAGAAACTGTCTTACTACATATGTGTCCCAGTAAGTTGAACTGCCAACTTCATCACATACAAAACACTAAATATATTTAAACTGACCCCTTTCCTCTTCCCCTTATCTATGCAGCAGGGGACTATGGATGGAAACTGTGGGAGGGCATTATGAAGCTGTCAAAAACAGAGTAGAATTGCTAAAACTGTCTAAGGGGTCCTATTTAAGTACTGCAACTTAGTATATATTTAATATCTAGTAATCAGCCTTGTTCATCCCCAAATCATCTTTTTCAGAAATTATGCAATATTTGTAAAGACGATTACATCATAGTGCCTAATCAAAAAGGAAAAAGATCATAAAAGAGGGAGGAAGAAAAACTGAGAATCTTTAAAATCAAAGAATGATATCTGAGTTGCTTTCTATTAGTTATTTCATGATCAATAAAATATTGTAAAATATTCATAAGGCAAGATAAGCTATATCTAAAGACTAATAAATCTTTGATTCAAAGAAACAACAGATCAGGATATTTGGATTTCATAATTACAGAGACTAATTAAATGTTGGCCTTAAGTTTTTCCAGAAATTCCGGTTCCCTTAATTATGTAAACTCTGCTTGCCTGCTTACTGAAGTTTATCTAGGAGCATAACAACTTTAGTCTACTAATCTGTAATTAAGCTGCTTTTAATCTTAAAATAATCTTATAAACATCTTTTTCACATTTTACCCTCATTATAGTTTCACCAAATATTAGACATGAAATAGAAAGACTAAGCTTTTATAGAAAAAGATATAAACAGCAGGCCCTAAGTACAGCATCTTTCAACTCTTTCATATATATTATCACATACTTACTTATTAAGCAATGTATGTTGTGAGAGTAGCGAGAATTATCTGGGATGGTGAAGGTGCCATCACAGATAGCTACCTGGCTCTCACCAAAAGGTAGAGTGAAGAAACACAGTTTATATAGTAAACAGCCCAGTGCCTGTAAAAAAAGAAACATGAGTTGCATCAGAGCTCCAGTAATCAATCTAACCACAAGAGAAAAACAGTCAAAAACCAAACTTGAAATATGTTGTTGAAAAAAAACAAATTTTTATCAAGGGCTCATGCGGGAGAGGGGAGCGGGGAGGGAGGGGAAAAATGAGGACCTAATGTCGGGGGTTTAAATGGAGAGAAAATGTTTTGAGAAACGATGTACAAATGCGCTTTACACAATTGATGTGTGTATGGATTGGGATAACAGTTGTATGAGCCCCTGATAAAATGTTAAAAACAAACAAACAAACAAATAAAAAACAAATTTTTAATGTTTCTAAACTGTATCACTGTTTTCACAAATTATTGTTTAATTGATACTTTACATGCTTAATTTTTAAAAGACATTTAACGATGTTATTTCTATTTTTCTATCACAAATGTGGCTAGTTGACTAAATTAAATGCTATCGTACAACTCTAAATGGTGCATGTTGTAACTAAAGTAGAAATGGCAAGAGTCCTTCTGAAAACAATTATCATTTTATTTCTTCCACAAAGAAAATATATATTTAGTAACTAAACAACACATAGCCAAAGAAGTAAGCACAAGACTTCTACGAAGGTTTTTATAGTCATAAGAACACATATTTAAGAAAACGAGGATTGCAAACATGAGGAAACAAGCATATTTTAATAGATCAGACAATTATCAATAAGTATATCTCATTTCATACTACAAAAACCAGTTCATTATTTGAGTGTATACTACTAATCTTCATTCATATTAATTATGTTTGTATCCAGGTAATCTATACTAAATTCCAAAATGAAAATGTTTTGTCAATTTTTTGTTAATACATTTACTTGCTGACAACAAAGGCAAAACACCCTACAATAAAAATTGCACTGTAAAAGCATACAAATTTATGGCTAACCTACTAATACCTCAAAACTATGGAGTAGTAATAAAATGTGACTTCTTGTTCAAGAAACCATACTTTGTTAACAAAAAGTGGTTCAACTACAAACCTTATGAGTATCAGGAGCATTTTCAATTCTAAATAGATGATATAAATGACCCAACAGTTAGCATATATCACCAACATTGAAATTTGGGCTTCTATCTAAAACTTATTAGCAAATCAAATTTCCTCTGTTGAATTTTCTCCTCACATAAACTAAGTTTTATAAATACTATGATAATGATGATAGTATATAGAAATACCTTTGTGACTGCAGCAATAATAAAAAGTGTATTTAATATGCCTTCCCATGATAACAATTAGGAAACGTAGAAATTATTTCAAAAACATTACTGAATTGATTTATATAGAACAAAATAGTAAAGATGAATAGAAATAACCATTGTAATTTGTTTTTGCTTAAAATTATGATTCTCTTCTCTAAGATGCATCAAGTAAATTAAGCATGGCTTCCTTATCAGCACTTAAAAAGAAAAATCAAAGCATCTAATTCATATGCATTCTAATAGACTTTTGTTGTTGTTGTTCACAGCCCCAGGGACTGAGAGGGAAGGTAAGAGAGAAATGCATTTTAGCCAGTTTTCTCTTGTCAAGTAAACTTTTAATGTTGTTTTTGTGTCACAGTAAATTCTATAAAGGTAACAGTCCAGCTAATTATAGTAAGGCCAGTGTACTTAAGCCATAAAGCTAAAATATTCTGGTTTGTGTACAGTGAACACACAAGTTCCCAATTTTTTTTACACCAAAGCCACTCCTCTCTTTATCCATTTGATATGAGAATTGTTCAAGAAACAGAAGAGAACAAATGACCTGATTTTGAAGGCTGAATACTATCAGCTTCAATTTTCCTAATTTGAAAGTAACATGAAGCATCTTCGATGGAATTTCCTAAATGCTAGTAAATCACCATCCTAGGCTAGAATAAAAATGACCTAAAACAGAAACTCCCACGTTTATTTTTTTAATTATTCTAAAACATGAAGCGTTCAATATGAAAACTCTCCGAAACAGACCCAGAAACGTAATTTTTGACTGACTGAAATGGAATACATTTTCTGGATACCCCAGAATAGACACCTAAAATGTTGCAGCATATTTCTATTTCATGTGAACTACTAAATCAGAAACTAGAGAAAGACAGGATACTTTTTACCCCCATAAAGAGTTAAAAGCCTTGGAAAGTCACAAAGGCAGCTCTACCGTGCCCTATAAGGTTGCTATGAGTCGGCATGGACTTAATGGCAATGAGTCTGGTTTATGTTTCTAAAATCAGACAAACATAAAGAAAGCATCATGGAAATTAAACTTCTATTCCTTCTAACCCTCATAGAGACCCAAGAGCGGTGGTTTTCAACCTTCCTAATGCCGTGACCCTTTAATATAGTTCTCTTCATGTTGTGGTGACCCCAACCATAACATTATTTTCTATGGTACTTCATAACTGTAATTTTGCTACTGTTATGAATCGTAAGGTAAATATTTGATATGCAGGATGTATTTTCATTATTATAAATTGAACAAAATCAAACATAATTAAAGCATAGTGATTAATCACAAAACAATATGTAATTATATATTGTGAAATATTTGTTTTCCAATGGTCTTAGGTAACCCCTGTGAAAGGGTTGTTCGACCCCCAAAAGGGTCGCAACCCCAGGTTGAGAACAGCTGCCCTAGAGTGTAGAATTGCCCTTATGAGTTTCAAGACTGTAACTCTTTATGGGAGTGGAAGGCCTCACCTTTCTCCCTTGGAGCAGTGGCTGGTAGTTTCAAACTGCTGACCTTGATGTTAGCAGTTCAACATGTAACCAGTATGCCATGAATTGGAATCACTTGGATGGCAGTTGAGTTTGTTTTTTTAAGTTTATCCCTTCTAAGTACATACACAAGAGATACCACTTTATCATATTTTCTTATTTTTGCACATCTGTTTACTTATAACTCCATAGCTATACCCAGTTATCCATTATAAAACCAGAAACTAACCTATACATGGTTTAAAATTTTAAAGTATCTCTGACAACGTGTATGCTAACTAGTAATGTGTACTAAATCTAGCAAATTTCTGTCTCTGTTAAGATATTAAGCTGCAACTGTGAGATTAGGGTATTTTTTTTTTTAAACTGATCCTTGATGACTTCAAATGAATAGCGTAAGAACAATGATTTACTAAGGAAGTACTCAGCAGGTCATATGGAATTCAAGAACAATCACACAATTAGGCCAAAAAATGACCTACTAGATCACCTCTTCCAGTAACTTTATTTTAGAAGTCATGAGCCAGTTTCATCTGCTTCCTACACCAAACACATAAGCCTCCTTTACTATAAGCCATTAATAAGTCATACACTGAGGAAAACAGACCAGGTTTGAATTACACAAGCTCTTGATCTATAAAGTAGCATCAAATTAATGAAGCTACTTATAGTTTGATTCAGCCATTTTTACAGCTAAAATACAACATGCACCTATTTTATGGATCTAGTAATATACAGACCAATGAAAGGATAACAATAATATTCTTTTTTTGTGTGACATTACAAGAGTACTTGTCTAAGATTGTGTTAGGTACCAAGCCCCATATAGGGTGGAAGAAAGAAGAGAAAAATTTGGTGTCACATATATGTTCAACTACCTTCTGAACACTATGTGTTAAAAACAGTAGAATCCAAAACTATTTCCAAAGGAGTTTTATTCTCCCAAGCTTAGCCTTTATCCTCCTATGGGAACTAATAGAAGATGTGGCTAAATAATTGTTGAACTTAAATGAAACCACATTTAAAATAATTCCCAGCTAGTTTATTAATTACAACCAAAAAGCCATTTATGAAATGGGTTCTAAATAAGTGTTGGCATGCTAACACAGACTGTAAAGAAACATGCTCTATCTCAATAATTTTCAACCCAGACTTACATGGGAAATTGTAACCAATCTGAATATACCGAAATTGGATGCTTATCATTAGAATTTTTTTCCACTCATAAGATCCTAAAGTACCAGCTTAGTGTAATTACTTTAGCATTGTGTTTGGTTTTCTGTACTATGACCAGCTAAAATCCACTCAATAAAAAAAAAATATTAATACATAAACTAAATTGTAAACAACACTGTGCTAAAAGGTTACATTATAGGGAACAGCTATTTGTTGTTTGTGCCTTTTTGTTGGTTGAGTTTTGCAGAAGCTTTCCATCTCAGCACTAAGAAGAGAAATTGATGTAACATTTTTCTTTTCCTGAATAAGGAGCTCTATTCAACACGAAGAAGACATCATGCTTTGTAAAGTAGAGGGGCAGCAAAAGAGAGGAAGGCCCTCAAGATGGATTGACACAGTGGCTGCAGCAACGGGCTCAAGCACAGGAACAACTGTGAAGTGGTGCAGGACCAGGCACTGTTTTGTTCAGTTGTGCCTAGCGTTGCTGAGTGAAATCTGACTAGATGGCACCTAATAACAGCAACATTCTATATCATCTCTCAACACTTACTAGGAAGTGTCTTTTGGGGGGAGGTAGGGGGTCATAGTATAGGATAAGAAATTTAAACTCAGAATTCTTTATTCAGCGAGAGTAAATGTCGGCTTTTCTTGGTCTTACCCAGATATCAGCCTTGGTGGTGATAGGCCTCCCTCCATAAAGATTGATCATTTCAGGGGCTCTGTATGACAGAGTCGTATACCTGGCAGTAAATAAGTGAAATAAAGTGGAGATATTAAAAAAAAAAAAAGATGCTACATTGATTCCACATAAAATTCTACAACAATCTCTAGGTTTACCAACATTACATAGAATACTGTAAAAAAGCTCATTAAAAAGCCTGTCAAGGATTGAATATAAGCCATCGACATGCTTGTTTGTTCAAAAGTACAACAGCACTCATAATGACAGAAAACGTGTTTCTTTAATATTAGAAATAATTTAAATAATGGCAATGCATAGTGATCAATGTATTTGAAATAATACAATTTAACTACAGTTGTCTCTTCATCAAATTATTTTAGTCAGTCTGTCCATTTAAAATGAAAATCTCCATTCATTCAAATAACTAAGTCACGTTTATTAAGGAGTTTGCTTTTATGGACTCTCACATACTACATTGTACACCATAGTAAAAGTCTTTGGGTTTGTTTTCCTAACACACGGATTTAAAGGTACCCTGATTGCCATTACTCTTAACTATACTGATTAGCTAGGTTCTCGGTGACTTTTAATAAGGTCTGCCATCAGAAACTACCTAGAATCAAAAGACAGCGTAAATAATAAGTATTTACAATTATAATAGCCCCAAATTCACTTTGAAGAGTTTAATGAAGTGGTATTCCAATTTCATGGCATAAAGTATCAAAATATGGACATACTTCCAGTATCCTGGCATAATGTTTATACATTTTTTTCCTAAGGAAGTATCTAAACTCAACATTCTTAGCATCATACAGTTTCCAAATTAATCTGACTTGTAATACATTTGAAATGATACTATTACAGAGTAGGGACCTAAGAAGTCAGAGTGTAAGTGCCATGAGGTCATGACTTTTGTTCATTACTGTACCCACAGTCCCAAGAGCGGTTTCTGCTACATTACACTGTATAACTACTTTTTAATTGAATTAATGGTTAGCCTGGTGCCGCAAAGCCACAAAATACAAGAATCCATCATGAACTTGGATTCATGAATGCAATTTCAACTGCGCTTTATGCCAGACTGCAACAGCAAGAAATAAAATCTTTCAGCAGGTCAGAGATGTTTGAGCAGAATTCTATAGCAGGCCCTACATATCACTATATTTGACACAGGGGCTGCAACAATGGGCTCAAAGTAACGATTGTGGGGATAAGGCCGGACCAGCCTGTGTTTCTTTCTGTTGTACATAGGGCTGAAATGATGTCGAACCAACTCAATGGCACCTATATCACAATGCCTTAACTAAAAAAAGAAAACTGATGTGTACACACATAGCTCTAGGAATCCAATTCAATAATTCATTGTTCTTGTATTTCTCAGGACACTTATATGTTTACTACGGAGTTTGTTTTTATAGAATCTAACTTAATCATCATAGGACAATAATGTGTAACACTGCAGTGCAAAGGGAGCTCCTATGCAAACTTCAACAATTGAAAATTTGTGATCAAGTGATAAAAAGCAATTTTGAAAAGCCAAACACTTTAAAAATTCCTATCCCGACAGGTCTTTATGGATTTTCTGTCATTTCAAAGATAATCAAAGATTAATGAACAATTTCATTTTCTAAAGGTGGAAAATGGAAGTCAGCATATGGGCCTCACAGGTGCTCTCACAATCATGGATTTAAAAAACAGGTTAAGACTTACATTTCTACTAAAGATCTTTCCAGTATATTATTATAAAAGTACTTGATGTCATTTGCTAACTGTTTTATTGATAAATTCATATTGTATAAATTAATGGTTCAAAAACATCAAAAAGAGTTATGCGCTCATCACCAATCAATGCTACATGTTCTTCATTCTTGCATCCATTGTTACTAGCATCTCTTGTTCCTCCACACTTTCTCTGTCATTAACCCCAAAGAACCATTGATCTAGGAGTTATTTTCTTTAGGTTTACCTATCCTGGATTTCATATAAAGAAAATCATACAAAAAGAAGGAAAATAAAACAGCAACCACAATAAAATAGAACACAGAAAAACTCATCTCAAAAGGAAGTACAAAGTAATAAAAACTAGGTCAAGTTAAAAATGGGTCAAAAGGGAACAGAAACGCTAAGTTCAATTTAAACCAAGCTGTATGAATGCAGTTTTACACATTATGTTTTCCGCATGATCTTCAATACATAGAGAAATCAGTATTCTTAATATTATAAATATGATATAAAGGCACAAATGTTTCATTGAACTCAAATAATTCCATTGTTACTTCAGCTTACAAAACAAAATTCATTATCAATCTATGTACAATGTACCAAAAAAACAGCTATAATCTTGGTAAAACATACCCTTATCTAAATCAGCCACGAATTAATTCATTTCTATGGCACAAAACATTTTGCAGCAATCTATAAATTAAATATATATATATATATATATTTCTATTGGCAAAACTGGTCAGACTCATGCAAACTAAAATGCCCAAGAGACTTACTTTTTAATTTCTTCCTCAACTATATTCACTCCATCTTTTTGAGGATTAAGAAATTTATTAGTGGCACTTCCAAAGTCACAAAGTACATAGTTTCCACCATCATTCAACAAAATATTTTCTACCTTAAGAAAGGAAACAAAAAAATTTAATAACTCATATCATTTTTCAAAGTGAAAATTATCTTTTTTTAAAGCTATGCTTTTGGCCCAAGAGTTTATGCCACATGCAATAAAAGACCTAGCTGCCTCACATTACAAGCAAGGCCACATGAAGCAGAGCAGAGGACCTTTTTACTCTGTCTACTGTCCCTCCCAGTAAGCACAAGAAGGTGCTTCTCCCACCCCATAGCCATTTGGGCTTAGACTAAGGAATCCTCTACTCTTTTCAAAAAAATTTTTTTATGAAAGAGAAGATCTACTAGCAGACACAGGCCAGCTTCTCTCCACTATCAATCTCCATTATTTCTCCTTTTCTGACACTTGTGCGTATCGACAGATAAGTAAATGATGAAAATCACTTACATTCTACATCTGATTGACTTGTGATGCTGTTTTTATCTAAAATATTGTACTGACTATAGATTTGGTTTTACGTCTGAGCTTGGAAACCAGAGTTTTAGTAACTAAAATAAACCAATTATGTAGTTTCTAGAAGAGCAGAGGTTCACAGTCCAGCTTTGCTACATACTAGCATGTGTGATCTTGGAAAATTTGCTTCTATTTTCCATAATACCATCTATTCCAGGGACTAGTGAAAATTAAATGAGCTGAAATTTGCAAAGTGCTAAAAACACGTGCCTCCTCTATGTGAGGCACTCAGAACGTGTTATTACTGCTACTGTTGTGTTTGTCACAGTAGCTATTTTCTGATGCGGGACTTGGTAGCACTGTGGGTTAGGCCATTCAGCTGATCACTGCAAGGCTGGTTGGTGGTCAGGCTCTCCAGCTACTCTACTGGAGAAAAATGAAGCTGTCTACTTCCAGAAGGATTTACAGTCCTGAAACTCCTATATTGGGCTGCTACACATTGGAATTGACTGACAGCAGTGGTTTGGTTTAGGTTCGGTAGGCTTTTGGAGGTTGTTGGGGCTATGGGGAGGCTGGTATTTTGTGATACATTCTTGGGTGAACAGATTACTTTTTTTCTTACTCTTTCAAAATACTCATACTACAGTTTCTTATTGGTATCTTTTAGTTAAAATATAACACACACACACACGCACACACCCCAAAAAAGGCATTTGCAAATAGACCGTCCTAAGTTGAGTAATGCCTCCTCCGTAGTTTCCTTACTGTGAAATGCAGACAATACACAACTATCTTGCTGAGCTGCTATGAGAATGATTAAATAGTACATGGCACACTTCAAGCATTCAAAAATAGTAGTAAAAATTCTGTTAGTTCTCAAATTAATCTAAGCCAGGGGTGTCAAACTCGCGGCCCTTGGGCTTCATGCAGACCCCGAGATAATTTTTTGTGGCCTGAAATGCTCTGAAATAAAATGAAAACAGAAAAAATGTATATGAAGAAAATAGCGCTTAGAGGAGATCAAGGCAATACCATACACACAATTCCCTCATTAAACCTTTAACTACTGAAGACGAGTCTACACATGGCCCAGTGCCTTTCCCGGGGGCCTGTGGACGTGTATAAATACGCTGACTCAGTTCCGGTGACGTTTGGAAGCGATATGTCTGCCACTCTCAGTGTCACGTCATGTAAACAGATCCCAATAGCGAAAAGGTCAAAAAGAGCACTCTGGGCTGTGCTGTTATGAATCATACCTAGCGGCAGCACTAGTTAACCTTTTTAGAGGGAAGCCATTAAGATTTTCATCCTGTTTGTCAGCTGTCCAACATTTTGTGTTTTTTATTGGATACTTATATTTTCCAGTCACAACATAAGAGGTAAGTGATAACTAGTAGGAGGAAAGTGTGGAAAGTTTCAGGTAAAAAATACATTAAATAAAATAAAATTTATAAATACATTAAATAAAATAAATGTTTAAATAAAAGCAATTATATAAGGTTTTAAATATCCTATTCATATTCCTGAATCCTCACTTCAAAATATAAATTTAACACAATTTGTAAATGTGATATGGCCTGTGTGAATCTTGCCTGTTTCAGCAAATGGCCCGCATTTTGAGTTTGACACCCCTGATCTAAGCTAACAATTTTTTCAATACTACTTTTCTTGCTTTACAATTTTTCTTTCATATTTCATTTTGTAGTTGCCATGAAGTCATGTCGATTACAACTCAAAGCGACCACATGTACTGAGGAAAACCTGCCCCTTTCTTGTAATTGTTATAGACGCAGGTCACCAGGTCTTTCTCAGGCAGAGCAGCTGGGTGGGTTTGAACTGCCAATCTTTTGGTTAGCAGCTGAGCACAACCTTTTGCACCACTAGGGATCCTTCTATTTCATTTTAGGTTACTTTTTGAAAGATTGTAACACAAACATATGTTTGCACAAATGTATGCATCTATAAATAAGCATGAAAATGAACTGTATAAAATCATGCAGGTATAGTAAATGTCTCTTGAATCTTAAATTAAGAACATTCAAATGAAAATATCAACTTATTATAAAAATGTTTGGGAAGTAACAGGGAAAAATTAATTCCAGATTACTATGGAAAAGTTGTATATTCAGAAGAACTGAGGTGAGCTAACCTTAAGGCGGTGACCCAAGTTAATGGACAGAATGAAATCTGCAGTCCTTCCTGAGGTCTGCTTCATTTTACCACAGGGTTCTCTGGAGGGTATTTTCATTGTTAACACAAGATACATTTTAGGCGCATCTTCTATTCTATTTTTATCTTAAAAAGATCCCCTGAACAGCTTTTGTTAAGCATTGTACAATCAGTCAGAATTGGGATTCAACCATTCAGTAAATATTTCAGTACTCAGTACTGTTTGGACACATCACTAAAATGACAAAAATCTCTAGTCTAAAGGAATTTACATTCAAGGAAGATAGATAATAAGCAATAGATGTAATACATGAGCCAATCTATAGTGTCTTAAAAGGTGAGTAAGTGCTCATAAAAGGTAAAGCATGTAGAGAGGTTATAATTATAAGAAGAGTGGCTCAGGATAGCCATCAGGGTACCTGGGCATACATTTCAGGAGAGGAAATTTTTGTAACTGTGTTTACGGGAATCAAAAAGAACGTCCACATTCTAAATTGTGTCTCCGCACTATTATACCATGAATGCTCATTAGCTTTTCGGAACTCTTCCAAGTGTACTAACTGGACATCAAATACAAGGGGTCAGGAACCCACAAGATGTTGAAGAGGCTTTAGAGAAAATTATCTCCAAATTACAGGTAAAGAGATTCAATTATAGGTCTCCTCTCATATTTCCTGAAGACACCATGGTATGGATTACAACAAACATGAGAAACACTGGTCTGAGAATGATGAGAGGCACCCTCAACCTGTGTTAGGGATGCTCACACTTTGTTCAAAATGAAAGAATAAAGATTTCTTTGTTCAAATGAAAAGCTTTTAAAGAAGCCAACCACAGTAAAACAGAGGAGCAGAGTCAGGGGCACAAAAGCCACCTCTGCTGGAAACCTCAGCATCCTGAAAAGCACACATTTAAATGCAGCAGCTTCTTTACATGACCTCAGAAAATGTAGCAGAGGACAGAGAAGCTAAGCTTATACAGCAATATCAAAGCCGGATTGTATGAAGACAGTCCAGCAGCATTGTACCTCCAAAGCATAAACCCCACTATTTAATCCTTACATTTTCTAAAAGTCTTACCTTCAAGTCCCGGTGAATTACTGGAGTCTTACATTGATGCAGCCTGGCAACAGCTTCACAGGCATCGCAGAATATCTGCAGCACTTCTGGTTCCGTAAAACCTGTCTGCAACTTCTGGTTCATCTGATTCACTACCTGACCAGCTAACCAAAAAAGGTAATTGTGAGAAGACTTTTCCCCTCCAAATTAAGGCTGTCATAAAGAAAATTTAAAAATGCCTCTGTGGTCTCAGATAATGGGAAATTGAGGTTTTTCATAATTCCCATATAACGATTAAACCATAAATTATTGATTCAATGATAAATTCCCACCCCCCCACATTTCACTATATTTGAGATGAGAACATCTTACAATAATGATCTGCTAATATTACGGGGCGCTTTTAACATCTAACATCTCTGGAATCAGAGTGTACCATATAATCAAAGACATCTTAGATTTGTCAAAACCATTTTCAACACTTGGTTAGTTATTGGGTTGAAATGGTTAAGAAAAAAGCACATTCTCTATTTTCATGGAATTTAAATTTGAAAGGTAGAGAAAAACATCAATCACATAAATATATGATCCTGATAATATAATTAAAATATGAGACTTTAATGTAGGAGCCTTAAACTTATACTGGACAATAACTAAAGAAAACCAACCAAGAATTGATGCCTTTGAATTAATGGTGATGGCAACGAATTCTGAATATACCATGGACTACCAGGTGAAGGAACACATCTGTGTTGGAAGTACAGCAAAAATGCTCCTTAGAAGTAATGATGACAAGATGACATCTCATGAAATTTCGGATGTGTCATCAAGAGGGACCAGAACCTTGAGGAAGACATCATGCTTGGGAAAGTAAAGAATGAGTGAAAAATTGGAAGACCCTCAAGGGGATGATTTGCTACAGTGTCTACAACAATAGGAAGGGCTCAAATGTAGAATTATAAGGACGGTGCAAGACCTGTCTCAGAACCAACTCAGTGGCACCTAACAACAAACATTTATAATACTAAGCAAGAAAATGGGGGGAGAGACAGTCAGCGAAGACCTCTGTTGGGATTCAAGGATACTTAGGAATTGATGCTTACTATCTTTGAGTCAATTCCAACCTACAGAAATTTCATGTGTTAGTTTAACTGATCCATATAATGTTTTCTGGACTGTACTCATAGCAGAAGCTAAATAACAGGTCTTTCTTCCAGGTCATCACCAGTGGTTCTGAACCACTGACCTTTTGGTTATAAATTAAGCGCAAACCATTTGTACAACCTTCAGACATAATTAGGAACTAATGAGGCGAAGCTATGGAAGAAGAAAAATGACAAATACTATGTACACAGAAAAAGGGAAAGTGTTTGATGCCTTGGATAATTTAAAGAAAGCCAATGTGAATATGGTCTACGAAATAGAGAAAAGAGGACTATGAAGAAACTGGAGAAGCAGAGAGGGACCAGCCATGTTTTGAATTTTATCTGGAGAAATAGGGAAACCTATTTATCTGGCATTTTAAAAGATGTCTCTGATAAAGAGAAGCAGTTGCAAAAATGGAAATGCCAAGCAAAAGGTAATCATCTAGGAAAAGTAAGAAGTAATGGGACTGTCACATATACCACTGAGCCCTAACAGATTTATTGTTAAATTACAATATCCTATAATGACTGATAGTATCTTGTGGTAATCTTTTTTTTTAATTAGCCCTCATTATATTTATTATATTTTAAGAACATTCTAATAAAAATGAAATGTGGGAATACAAAAAAGGGTGAGCTCATTATTAACTTATGAGCTCCTGGCAACACAGTGGGTTACACGTTGGCCTATTACATACACAATCAGCAGCACGGACTCCCTAGCCATTCGTTCCTCTGAGAAGGACGAAGCGCTCTGCTCCTGTAAACTTGGAAACTCAAAGAGGGCAATTCTACTGCATCCTACAGGGTTGCTATGGCAATGGGTTTGATGTGCTTTTGTTTTGTTTTCCCAGACCATTTTATTAGGAGCGAATCCAGACACCATTCCATAATTCAATCAAGCAGTATTGTATAATTGCTACCACAATCAGTTTCAAAATATTTTCTTCCTTCTTCACCCTTACCCCATGCCCCCATACCACTAGAAATCATTCATGTTAGATTTATTATTTTAATCTACTATTGTTGTCTCTCCAATACTCTGTCTGGTAACCAGTTTATCCACATCCCTCAATTATGGTTAGAGGAAAAATTGGAGGCCTAATTCCTGTGTAGAAGTAGCAAAAAAGGTATTTGAACCTACAGGGACAGCAAGTAGAATAAGGCTTTCGGTTTTGGGAGGCGGGGAGTGGATGTTTACAGGACGGGGTAAAAGAGAGACGATGTCAAGGAGTCCAGGAAGAAAAACAGTATGTTTGGACACTGATTATGGAAGCAATTGTACAATTCTGCTTGGCATGATTGAACTATGGAATGATGTATGTATTAACTCCCAATTAATAATAAATTAGGAAAAAAACTGTCTTTGGGGCTTCCACTGTCATCCATAGCCTCTGTACACCAGAATTTCAAATTTTAAGCTCTGATCCTATTTCTTCCTTCAGATTTGTATTATAATTTATAATCTTTGGGTCACGGTGTGCTTCTTCTATGTGGACTTAGTTGATATCTCACTTAGATGGCTGCTTATTTGGAAACAAGCCTAAAGACCCCAGGCACTATTCTGTCTGAAAGCTGGGTATCATCTACTTCTTCACCACACTTTCCTATAGTGCCCATATCTTCTGTGTTCCCTTCATGAAAATGAGTTTCAAGCAGGGTCATATCATAAGAACTAATTGTTCCTAGAATGGAGCTAGGGCTAGGTACAAGCCCCAAATCCATTCCTGAATCTATGTTTTTTATCTGCCTCTGGCTCCCCTTAGGTACCTCCTTGTAAATTTATGGTAGAAAATCTTATCAGTCATCTCCATGGAGCATAAGGACCTTCTGTTAATAGTGTCATTGATTAACCCATGTACTAAATTTTAAAATACTATTGACAGAAGGAGATTGAACCAAGTGTAGACTAACTACATATCACAATTAATTATTCATGTGCACAGAATAAATCCTTATGTGACTGGACAGTATTTATGCAACAATAGGACTTCATTGACAAACAAATTTCACAATAATATTCTATGGCAATGGCAATCACAGATCTGCCAGACTAATACATATCTTAATACAGCAATTAGGGCACTGAAGTAGTAAATTACTGTTGGTCCACCTAAGGACAATTCAATACTCTTGGTATAGCTGTCTTCTGCTTCTTCACACACTGAATTTCAGTGTTAAATCCTAAGGTTACATGTTTGTTTAAGGTAGAGTCTTGTTCACCAAGTGTGATGTCCACCTCACGTCCCTCTGGTATAGCCTTGGAGCTTTGTGTGTCTTGAAGATCCAGGATTCAATGCCCTAGTGGTCTATAGCACTTGGCCTGGGTCCCCATGTTTTTGGGTCTTCATTTGTAATGTTAACTTGAAACTTTGCTTTAACAGTACTGGATAAATGAATTGACTGTTGCACTTAGGAACGTGAAAGGTAGTGCATGGCACACTTGGTTCCTTTGTATTAAAACTTGTCTTTTCTAAAATTTATTTTTCATTCTGAATTTTAAAGTAGAAAGAACATTAAAATTTGCCTAAGCCCCAACTTCAGAAACCATGTCTATTCAGATGCTATCTGCTCAGGGTCCCTATCAGTCCCTGCTTCCATGCAGTTTGTCAGACTCTGAGTCTGTCTATTCTTACACAGGTTATAACTAAAAAATAAAGAGGATGAAAAACTTCCTTGGTGCTCATTCAGAACCTTGAAATATCACTTTACAGCTACTTTGAAATCCTAATTTTGAACTCATTCCAATTCTTCCACACTGTTCAAGGCTGGAAAAAGGGGAATAAATGTTAAACAAATGTTTCTTTCCCTTCTTCCATCCAGTGCTCTTCAGGTCAGAAAACATGAACACAAAAATTAAGTCTCTAGAAAGTCAAAATTATTTTAGATCGCATTTCAAATGTAGAAACAAAAATGTTCATTACTTAAAATCAGAATTTTCGGAATCAGACAAAACCAACAGAACCCTCTCACCAAACTCGGCCTAAAAGAGCCCATTCATAGAAATACAAGCAATAATAATCCACTGTAGTTTGAAGCTTTGATTTTTGGTTTCTTTCTTTTTCTTTTTTTAAGTTAAAAAGCTAATAGATATGAGTTCCTGGCTGGCACAAACTGCTCACTGGTACTTGGCTATTAACTGACAAGTTGGTGTCTCAAATCCATTCAGAGGTGCCTCAAAAGAAAAAGCTAACAGATACATTATTCCTGCTTACCTCTGTAGAACACCTTTTTAAAAAAATCATTTTATTAGAGGCTTATACAACTTTTATCACAATTCATATATACATCAATTGTGTAAAGCATGTAGATCCTTGCAATCGGTTCCCCCTTTCCAAGCCACCCTCCCTCTACCCTCCCAGTATCGCCACTCACACCACTGGCCCTGAAGGGATCATCCAAGAACACTTTTTTTTAAAAGTGTATATCTTTGCATAAAATAATAGAAATATATTCAAAGTATCACCGTTGCTTTTGGGAATTCTGGTACACAAAGCACATAATCTCTCATTTGTGCACCAGAATAAACTGCACCAAACCATGCACCAGAAAGACCAGCCATATACCAGAATGTACCTGTACCATAGGCATCAGTACCCTTACAAAACCCCTTCACTCCTAAACAATGTAATACAGTTTGCTTTTATAAAGTAAAAGGAAATTCTCCCTGCTCCCAGTCCAATCATTGCTTCAAGGGAGAGAAAGAAACTTGTCTGGCAGTCAGAGAAAAGGAACTGAGCATGCTCCATTGGAGGCCTCTGGATTTCTTCCCTTAAGAGAGAAAATTGATCGCTTAACATACACAGCAACCTCAGCTGACAAGACACCTGAACAAAACCTTCTAATGTGAAGACAAATGGTGCATAAGCAAATGTGGCGAAGAAAGCTGATGGTGCCCGGCTATCAAGAAGTATAGCGTCTGGGGTCTTAAAGGCTTGAAGGTAATCAAGTGGCCATCAAGCTCAGAAGCAACAAAGCCCACATGGAAGAAGCACACCAGCCTATGCAATCACGAGGTGTAGAAGGGATCAAGTATAAGGCATCATCAGAACAAAAAATCTTACCACAGTGAATGATGGGGGGAGTGCGGAGTGGAGACCCAAAGCCCATGAGTAAGGCCACTGGAGATCCCCTTGCAGAGGGGTCTCGGGCAGGAGATGAACCAGTCAGGGTGCGATGTAACAACGATGAAAAATACAACTTTCCTCTAGTTCTTAAATGTTTCCTCCCCGCTCCCACTACCATGACTCAAATTCGACCTTGCAAGTCTGGCTAGACCAGAGGAGGTACACTGGTACAGACAGGAACTGAAAATCCAGGGAATCCAGGGCGGCGGATGATCCCTACAGGACCAGTGGTGTGAGTGGCAATACTGGGAGGATAGAGGGAGAGTGGGTAGCAAAGAGGGAACCGATTACAAGGAACTATATATGACCTCCTCCCTGGGGGACGGACAACCGAAAAGCGGGTGAAGGGAGATGTCGGACAGGGCAAGATATGACAAAATAATAATTTATAAATTATCAAGGGCTCATGAGGGAGCGGGGAGCGGGGAGGGAGGAGAAAAAACGAGGACCTGATGCCGGGGCCTTAAGTAGAGAGCACATGCTGTGAGAATGATGAGGGCAATGAATGTACAAATGTGCTTTACATAATTGATGTATGTATGTATGGTGATGAGTCGTATGAGCCCCTAATAAAACGATTAAAAATTAATAATAATAAATAAATATGGGGGGAAGAGTTGTACGAGCCCCCAATAAAATGATTTATGAAAAAAGATATATAAATATAGATATATACATATATATATAACAACAGGGATATAGGTCTATGAACATATATTTATAAGTTAAGTATCAAGGTAGCAGACAGACATTGGACCTCTACTCAAGTCCTCCCTCAACACCAAAACAATTTGTTCTAATAACCTGGACTTCTGTGATGCTCATCTTCCCCACAAAATTGTTAAAGAAAAAAATGGGTGCATAAGCAAATGTGAAGAAAGCTGATGGTGCCCAGCTATTAGAGAATAAAGTGTCTGGGGTTTTAAAGACTTGAAGCTAAACAAGTGGCCATGTAGCAGAGAAGCAGCAAAGCCCACAGGGAAGAAACCCACCAGCCTGTGTGATTACAAGGTGTCAACAGGATCAGGAATCAGGCATGAGAAGACCCAAAACAAACAACTATATAATGTGAATGAAGAGACTCGGAGTAGAGACCCAAAGCCCATCTGTAAACAATTGGATATCCCCTCAAAGAAGGGTCACATGGAAGGGATGAGACAGCCCGGGGTGCAGTATAGCATCAAGGAAACACACAACATTCTTCTAGATCTTAATGCTTCACATACAACACACACACACACACACTTCTCTCCCCTCACCTCCGGCCACACACACACATACACTACCATGACCCCAGTTCTACCTTCCTAATCTGACTATACCAGAGCTTGTACACTGGTACAGATAAAAGCTCTCGACATATGGAAACCAGTACAGATAAACTCCTCAGGAACAAAAATGGGAGTAGTGATACCATGACAAGAGGGGGAAGGTGGAGGGAGAGGGGGAAGGTGGAGGGAGAAGGGAAAGGAAGAACTGATCACAATGATCGACAGATAACACCACCACCCACCACCCTAGGGGATGAACAACAGACATGTGGGTGAAGGGCAACAGTGGATGATGTAGGATATGAAATAATATGAAATATTAAATAATGTAGGACATGAAAATAATAATTATCAAGGGGTCTTGAGGGTGGGGAGGTGTGGGAGAAAGGCGGGGGGAGAGGAGCTGATGCCAAGGGCTCAAGTAGAAAGAAAATGTTTTGGAGGGCAATATATGTACAAATGTGCTTGATACAATTAATGTACAAACTGTTATGAGCTTTAAAAGCTCCCAACAAAATGATTTATTTTTAAGTAAATCTCTTTTTACCTAAAGGCACTATCTAAAGTATAAATTTAGAAATGGCACTAATGAACTTTCAAGGGCCTCCTCATACCAAAAAGCACATGCTTATGCTGATTTTCTATGCCCCGATATTGTTGTTGTTAGGTGCCACTGGATCAGTTTCCACCCATACACAACAGAAGGAAACAGTGCCCAGACCTACACCATCCTTACACTACTATGTCTGAACCTACTGTTGCAGCCATCATGTCAATCCATCTTTAGGGTCTTTCTCTTTTATACGTTACAATTTCAAGTATACTTTGGATCTATGTAGATAATACTATATAGAACTATGGAAGTAAATGTGAAAAGGCATATCTCAAGGATATGAGAAGAGAGTTGGAGAAGAGTGTTCCTACTAAAGTAGCCACAGCTACTAGTATTAGTTCACATTTTAAACCATATACCCAAATTATTGCTATTAGGTTCTTTTGAGTAAGCTCCAATTCACAGTGACCTTAGATAAAACAGAATGACATATTGCCTGGTACTGCATGACCCTCACAATTGTGTCTATGAATTACTTTAGTCAAAATTAAAATTTCATGTAAAACAACGGTTGCTGATGCAGTTACCAGAATAAAAAAATAGAAACAAAAAAAGCCTTCCTCAAAATACAGCTTAAATAATTCCTCTAATTTGAAATAAAATTTGCCCCCAAAACTTGAAGCTAAAGTGGATTTGCTATTATTAAATTTAATCTAGATGTCAATTAAATTCATTTTGATCCATTGTCTTTTAATAATCACAAGTACTCAAGAACTATTGGTTAACTGCAATACAGCTGAAAATAAACATCATAAATGCTAGAATTCTGGACAGCAGGATAGAGAAAATCAGTATCTTCTCCCAAAAAAGGTCAAAATAATGCTCTGCAGTAGAGAAGACGGGATCTTCTGTAAATAAGGGAAAACAATCAAAGAACTCTCTCATTGCCATCAAGTTGATGCTGACTCAAATCACCCCCCAAAGGACACAGAACTGCCCCCTGTGTTTACAGGAGTAGAAAATCCCATCTTTCTCCCACGGACTGTCTGATGGTTCATAACTGCAGACCTTGGGGATTGCAGTCCAATGCATAGCCATATGCCACCAGGACTCAAGAACATCTATGTTAAATCACATATGGAAATAGTGAGCAAGTATTTCACAGGACACATGTATAGTACTGACTCAATTCATTTTCTTTTGTTCTTCCTTCTTTCTAAGACTGGAATAAATGAGAATGTATTTACGACCACACATCACACCTTTCTCCTCCAACCTTCAAGAAACTGCAATAGTTCCTAGCATGCAAATAAGAATAGTCTTAAGAAAGTCTAGATATAAACCAGAGCACCCTGAGGCTGATAAAGTATTCTCACAAAAATTCAACTAATTGCCCCCTTTACAACACATTTAAAAATATTATTAGGTATTTATTATTATGAAGGTATACTATGCAAAAGTAAACAGTTCTTTTAAAATACCACACTGGACTCAAGTAAAATGTGGCCTTCTAGCTTCACAATGGAACAACAATCATGATAACAACAAAAGCTAACATGCTTTACAAAAACCTAAATTTAATAGCATTTAAAGATAACATGGCAGATGCTGGCAAAAATTTTATAATACTGATATTGACACAATATGTTCTTAGTAAAACTATAAAAACTTGGCTAGGAAGCAGGAATGTAACTGCTTTTACCTGCTTAAATTTCCTGTTTTAAACCCAACAGTATTTTACGAACTTTTCATTTTAGATTAAATGCTCAAGTCATTCCTGCAACAACTATGACTAGGTTTTCCTTTTTTTTAACAGCTTTCCTTAATTAGGTAGATAATTAAAGCTGAAGTGGTAGTAATACGTGTCTAAAAGCAGGTGGCAGCTGCCCTGGGAGAAATTCAGACATGTACCAACCTATTTTGAAAGACTTTATGTTTTAGTAGGATACAAACACAGAGAGATGCTTACCTCGACAATACTCCATTAAGATAAGTACTTCCCATACATTATCACTAATTGAATTAACAGCACAATCCAAATAACCCACAATATTTTTGTGACCAGATAATTCCTTCTGTAAAACAAAATGAGGAAAATTAGAGAAAAAGAAACAAACATTTTAAAAACAAACATGTTGAAACTGTATCATTAGCAAATGGCTTGATGCCTAATGTAGTTAAAGAATGTCGAAAAGTAGGCATGAGGGCAGAATCTGACATATTTCAATCATGTACGATTTCCATTCCAAGTCCACTTATTATGATTGCCACTAACAAGCAACTTTACAATAAATAATTATAACTTCAGCAAAGAAAAAAAAGAGATGTTTCACCTGAAAGTAATATTCTCCAAGAGATTAGGCAAGGTAAAGATGGCTTTTTAAAAATTTACTTTTATTCTACGAAAATAAAAGAAATTAAGCTTTAATATTTACAGATAGACACATTTTCATTTGTTTGTTATGCCTGCAACATATTTTGATTTATGTGTGCCTATTTAAGTAGATATTTTGTTTATGTATTAATTATGCTTAATGAACAAAAGCTACAACAAAGAAACCATAAATTAAAAATACTACTACTAATATGAGTGGCAAGGGAATAGAAAAGTAGCAGCTGTCACAAGTCTTCAAGCATAAAACAGCTATCAGCTAATAAAAAGCTTCAAAATAATAATAACCTAGCCAGCTCTATATGGGAAATTCAAAGGCAATTTCCAAAATGGTATTTAAAATTAATTTGCATTTATATAATTACTAATAAGCTTAGTTTTAACTATATACTTTGAAATGTTATCTAATGACAGGTAAACATAATATTAATTCTATAACTCTATAATGCTGCTGACTGTGTTTTATAAACCTCAAGATTATACAATTAAAGCCTATGAAAAGGAAGCATCATGTCATAATAGTACAAGATCTGGCACAAGTTCTACCATTAGGTTGGGGTAAATCCTCTAACTTTTTTGGTCAATCCTTACTAAAAAAAGAAAGAAAGGAGGGGAGGAGGGAAGGAAGGTCTCAAAGTTTAATCTACTATAGCCTAACTAAGGAATAAAATCATAACAGGAGAATTAAGAAAATCAGATTATACAAATGAGTACTTCAAATGAAAAGTGATTTCATATGTGTTGAAGAAGTTGCTAGGAAATCATTCCCCTTCCTAACAGTTAAGATAGT